TTTACCGTAATGGCAAGATGCCAAATCCGGCCAAAACAGTACAGAACAACCGTGTTTCTTCAGGAAAGGCAGCAGACGTTTATTCAAACACTCTTTCACGTAAATTTCTTGGTTGACAGTCCCGGAAGCTATGAAAATGCTGCTTTTCAAGCCACAGGTACAGATGGCTTGCCAAACCAGATATTTCTTTGCGAACTTTGACAGTTTCATGTGCTTGAAAACATCTGCTACCTTTCCCCTTCCTTTTGCCGTATAAAACTCCTGTCCCGGAAGCTGCTTGTAGTCGGCTTTGACGTAGGTTTCGTCGTCCATTACCACGCAGTCAAACTTCGTCAGCATCGTCGTGTACAGCCTCCGGGATCGCGCTTTGGCCGTCGTATTTTGTTTATCATCGCGATTTGGAGTCACTACCTTCTTGTAAGTCGATAGTCCGGCTCGTTTTTTGGCTCGATGCACGGTTGTAGACGATACACCCAGCTCATTTGCGGCATCTCGGAGAGAGAGGTTAGGGTTTCGCTTGAAACTACCGGCAACTCTCTTTGTCGTCTCAGCGGCTTCCGGTTTTCGATTTCCCCCCGATCCAGACTTCCTGGCTGTCGACAAACGTTCCCCAAACACTTTAATTACATTTGTAACGGTTGATTTGGCAACTTTTAGCGATTTTGCCAACTTTGCGTGCGAGTAGCTCGGATTTTCGCGATGCGCGAGCAAAATTTTGATACGCTGCTCTTCTTGCTTGGACGGCATTTTGACAACTGAAGAGTGAATTCCAAAATCAAAATAGGAGCAACATTCTACACACACACACCTTCAAAATGAGGGGTGTTCAGGTTTTTTAAATGCAAAATTGAAAGAAATACGTCAAGTTGATATTGACCAAATTTTGACCGTATCACCCTTTAGATGCAGAATCATCAATACAGCTGGTAGCACCATCGACCCGCTAGCAACATACCAACCATGGAGCCAACAGCAGAACGGACGCGGTTCTCCTGACTCAACAAGACGCCAGGCCGGACGCAGTTCTCCTGACCCAGCATGACAACTGCACCGCTGACGACGAGGACTCCTGACGCAGTAGCTAATCGATCATCGATCGATAGGCACCATTCATTTTACCAAATTAATCAGTCAGTCCAGTTTAGGTAGATAGAGTGAAAAGACAAAGGTATTGTAAAGTGAAACTTTGTATTTTGAATTAAGTATAATCAAATAAAAACTTAGTGAAACAGTGATGAAAAATGTTTCTTTAAAACACTGGAATGGAAAGAAGCCCATAATTGTATAACAAAATGGACCCATATCAGTGGATTGAAAGACAATTAAGATCAAAAGCAAATTTGCTGTAATTAGCGGGGACTAATTATTCCTATCAGATGAAAAATGCAACCAAATCGAAAAAAACTTTTTTGTGCAAAATCGAAAATCTGGTCAACGTAACCTGTAACCAATGTTACCACCAGCTAGTTCGTGGCAATACAAGCAGATCCGTGTTCATCAGTGACCCAAGTTCTTCGGAGACTAAAATCATCGAAAACAACGGCATCTTGTTGAAGAACACTATCATCCCAGTACATCTTCAAAACACTTGTGGATATGGACCAAAGAATCTGACTGGAACGTTCTTCATAACATTCAACAACTGTTCAGTTAGTATTGGAAATACCCGCTACGATAGCAAGGTGTTTCGATTCGATCCAAAACCTGACGTTCTTCCGTTACACTTCGTCACCGTTAACAAAACAAATGTTATCGTGAAACCGATAGAATAGCTACATGACCTACAAGCAAACAACCGTCACAGGATAAACCATCTAGAAATCATTAACTAAAAAGACACAATAGAGGAAGCCATTTTCTCATACCTTATCATAGAAATATCGAGGATTAGAAATTTTATGCGAATTCAACAACCCATCTCATCGCAATAAGTTGAACCGGGACGGCTCAATCTAAGAAGGGGAATGTTATGTACAAACGCTTGCTCTACCTATGATCAACCAATCATGACATAGATGCAGAATCATCAATACAGCTGGTAGCAACATCGACTCGCTAACAACATACTAACCATGGAGCCAACAACAGAACGGACGCGGTTCTCCTGACTCATCAAGATAACACGACTGTCGGTTCTTGAAATTTGTCCAAGATCTCAGATTTGAAAACAATAATGGAATATCAACGTTCATATGGTCTTGAAGAAAATATTCATGAATCTGGAATTTTGTGGCTATACCTTGAGAATTTCTGAACAATTTAGGCGAACTTAAAGGGAATTCTAAGGAGTATTATATGAGGGTTCTGAATGGAATTCCATTTTAGTTTTGAGGAGAATTTCAAGCGAAATCCATGAAATGCTTCCAAGACAATTCTGATGACCTTTTGATTTCTGGTAAATGGTTAGGAGATTTGCAAGGGAGTTCTGCGGAGAATTCAAACAAGAAGAGCTTCAATTTAATTCCAAGGGGAGAAGAAAATTCAAAAGATTATTTAAGCATAATTACTATGCCAATATGAGTATAATTCAAAGAGAATTCTGAGAGCTGTAACTGTTTAGTTGCAATGTCGTAGGTTTTAATGTGTGCATGTGGTTTTAGGAAACTGTAGTGTTTTTTTAGTGTCAGTGTTGGGTTAGTAGGATTAGTAGGATTGTTGGTAAAATTGCTGTAAATTGAAAAATGTATAAATTTGTGTTAGTAGGATAAGATTGAAATTGATATTTTTATAAACTTAATTGGGCGAGGCAGGATCGAAAGGGTGTTGTGATCAACTGTGGCAGAAAAACTGAATAGGCGAAGGATATGATATGGATGGGTGGTGATAAGCTACAAGGAAGGAAAATAGAGGACATAAGGAACGAATTGAAAACTGGATGGGAAAAGGACGGCTTTTGCTAGCTGGGATGGTCAACCATTGCCCAGAAGTATACCGGCGTTCGTGCGTACAAGACGTGAGTGGAGTCAAGACTATAGTGAACCGAACAAAGGGCTTATAAGTGCAGTGAACAACCTCCTTCTGTTCCGTTCAGGTAACTTAGTTTGACCAAATTTGATTTTGGCTAGGTTTTAAAAAACCATTTGTCCTTCAGGACCTTTTTTATTTGTTCTACGAATATCCTCACGATCAGCACGTTTCGACTAAGTCAGTCTCGACTGTCTTAGTCTAAAATCCAAGGACCTTTTACTCTCCGGCTTGTAATTGCCAGAAAGGAGAGCATCCTCGGACTCGGAAGTCCTAATCGTTAAGGAGGAAGACCCTTCTCGGCTTGACCAAGGTGGCCTTGTCACGGTCAGCTGATATTGCCAATGAAGGGAGACGCCATTGCCAAAAGAAAATGCTACTTCGGTAGCTGCACAGGGATCGCTACATTTCCTGTTTGCGAACCGCCATCGCAACGCTCAAACACAAGCCTCCAATCCGGCATTGTCGTGACCACAGCTCCAGTCACCAGGCGCCATCTTCCAGCCCAGTTGAAGCCACTGATCTGTCATTGTCGACGGGGTGATCAAGCCACGGACCGCCATCGCGGTCAACCAACATCGGCCTCAACACAATCACCACCCGCGATCGCTCGTCATTGTCCAGCAAACACCACCGGTACGTACCAAAGAAGCAGAAACCCATAGAACACACCCCATAATAGCCCAATAAAACCATCCCCACCATCCCATTCATATAATTTCACCATCACTAGAGAAATCCCACAGTTTCTGCACCCTCCGAATTACCCAGTAGCAAGCCGGCCCTGTGACACAGTTCAGGGGTCTTATGCTACTGAGCTAGTTATCCGGGAGTCTTGGTTGAGCCACTAGGGTGAGTCTCATCTAGTCTCAGAGGAGTCCAAGTGAATGCATATTTTCAAGGAATTGTGAGGAGAGTAACAGGTGAATCTGAAGAAGAATTTAAATTTAAGGTGTATTCCACAGGAATTTTGAGGAGATTTCCAAGGGAATCCTTAGAAGAGCCTAAAAAACATTCCATGGAGTATTCCAATGCAATTCCTTAGAGAATTACATGGAAACTAAAAGTGCAATTCCATGAGATTTCTGTAGTATTTTTGGAGGAATTCCTGAGCAGTTTAGACTTCGGATAAGTTTTAGCTTGGAATATTTGAGATCCTCGAAGGAGGATGGTTACCAGTAATATTCAAAATGCTGGACTTTTTACCGTCAAATGTCTAAGACTTCTTAGCATTTTACATAACCAACATTGCTATTTTTATCGGGGTTTTAAGCATTCTAGCATTCTGACATGGCTAACTGCTTCTTTTCGACACAATTCCGAGAGTGTTCGAGAAGCTGCGTCAGCGTCCGAAACAACAGCTCCAGAATCTGTTGGACAAAGTTGTTCGAACCGTCAAACCCGGACAACTTGAGTCGCTTCGTTCATTTTGGATATACCGTGGAAGAGCTGCGGACATTGCCGCTGAAGTTCTTCCATTCCTCGAAAAGCCCGAATGGGTTCGGATCAAGAGAAACAAACAAGAACCAAAACTCCCAAAAATAGTCGGCACCGGTGGTGTAGTGGTAAGCGTGGCTGCTTTCTAACACCCCAATGGGTCTGGGTTCAATCCCACCCGAGGTCGGTGGGATTTTTCTGAGCCATAAAAATCTCTGGTCACGTCTTCCTTCGGAAGGGAAGTAAAGCCGTTGGTCCCGGCCCATGTGTGTTTGAATGGGTGCGATATCTTACGCAGGTGTGGAAGCTGCCTTCCTGCACATTCGATTGCCGTCAATGGATGGCAATCGATGTCCGTCGGTGATTGGCACTAGATTGCGGAACAGAGACCAACGTTAAATAAAGGAAAGAAGACAAAACTCCCAACGCTGACGGACTTGAACCGGGGACCAACGGCTTTACTTCCCATCCGAAGGAAGGCGTGATCAGAGATGTTATGCCTCAGAACATCCCGGCGGCGCCGACTGGGATTGAACCCAGGCCTGCTGGGGTGAGAGGTAATCACGCTTACCACTACACCTCCGGCGCCGTTACTGACGGACTTTCTCATGGAGGTGTTGAAGATGCAATATCACTTATAAAATGTCTTGAGTTTGAGTATAAATTGCATGAAATTTCCTTCTTCATACTTGCTTCAGAATTGATGTTTGTGCATTGCAATTTCACAGCATGCAGATTAACGGGGTTCAAATTAAAAACTGTTCAGATTAAAAACGGTCAGATTACCGGGGGTGCACGGTATATTATTAGAAGCGGTTTCAAAAATGCACTTTTAGTCCACATCACCACTGATCTGGCAACACTAATAAGTATCTTTCCAATCTGGGACGTGGTAGTAATCAAACGACCACTTAAGGTTTTGCCAATGCCCAGGGTTAGTGAAGCCCGTTTTTGCAACTGTTACTTTAAAAAAATCAATTTATAAGACGTACACGCAGAGAAATTATTTCTAAAGTCAAATGGATATGGTTTTAACTCAGGGCCTAATAGATTTTTGGTATTGATTCAAATATATTATTCGAATAATTCAACGAAACATATTTTAGATTCAACATATCAGCTGTAGAGTCAATCATTCGTTTGTTGATTCTAAAAACCATTTTGTTGATTCAAAAATATGATTTGTTGAAATAATGATAGAATATTTTTGAATCAATAACAAAATACACTATGCCCTGAAACAAACATCCATTTTCCTATGTGTATGGATAATTTTTATATAAAACACCATTTTCACTCATTAGAATAAATCGAAAGACTATTTGGCTATAAAATTACACCGAATAAAACAGCGCTACACACCTGATTCTAACGACTATCGTTTGCCAGCAAACAGTATGGTCGACACGGATTGACATCTAATGGTGGCTAATTACTAAAATCGTACTCTTAATGCTATTAGGCCTAGGAAATAAATAGAAACTATCACTACCTTGGGATCTCCACCCAACACCATACCATCTAATATGTACCTAGTAGAATAAACAATACAGGAAAAATGACTATTCCACACAACTAAACCTAATCACTAGCATCGAGAGGAGCCACCCGACTCAACACAACCGATCAGTAGCACGAACGGTTCTTATTTTCGTAAATTACATACTCGTATTGTTACAGTTTCGTCCCTCAAACTCACAGCATTCATTACCGCCGGTGCAGGTCCCATTCTCCTTTATATATTCCCACTGGTGCCGATTGCTATCGATCGTCTCCAGGAACGGGTGCGTCTCGGGGAAAATCTGTGACAATATTTCGAAGGTCGGTCGCACCACCGTCGTGAGGAACTCTATCTGCAGCACCGGAATGCATGCCTTCTTCCGATCCATCATTTCATTGGGTCGCAATCCCATCTGCTTCTCCAGGTCACCCTCGGCGAAGAACTCGGCGTACACCAGATGCTGTGAAAAAAAAAATATATGTTAAGATCCAGTTTTTTCGCTATCTTTAAACATTCTTACCGCCACGTGCTGCACCGTTCGCCAGCTTTTGATTTGATCGCTCAGGTCGCAACACGTAATCAACAAAGAGAGCAGCAATCGCTGGTTTGAACCTTCGGATAGATTCTCCGCCCGAAGTCGCTTCAAATGAGGAATAATTCGGAAGTGATTCGCCAAATCGGTTGCCAGAATGAGATCTCTCAGAAAATCGATGCATTCCTTGAACTCTTCCGTCGACAGACTGTCCAGTATCTTGCTGCTGGAATCGTTGAGAATGCATATCGCTTGCGACAGATGATGTCTCTCGTTGACGCTTCCTTCGCTACTGTACAAGCGTGCCAGTGGGCTGCTGGATTGGGTTTGATACGTATTGCTCGTTCCCCGATGGTCCAGATCGTGACAGAAGGCAGCGATGAGGAATGAAAAGCCCTGCATCTTCCTGTGAGGGGGAGGGGGAACGTGTTAATGGAGAAGCTTTTTGTTGTTTGTTTCTAATAAGTTTGTCAATAATTTATCTTGCAGGGCTGACGTTTAAACTTTCTGTAGATCTGCCTGTAGAGAATAGGACAAATATATCGTTTGTTATGCTGACATTCATTAGAGATCGATAGTAGGCGAAATATATCGTTTGAGGTAAAGAAAATAATCGATGAAATCAATAGTAGGCTAGTTGATAAAAAGGACACAATAAATCAGTCTTAAGAGTGAGTTCGTAACGAACGGAAGCAAAAAATAAAAAATCGTATGTTTAGCGAAAACTAGAAAAAAGAAAGAAGGAATCGTAAAATTGAACATATTTGTAGTTCTGTGGGGAACGTTTCAGCTCAATTGATCATAAGTTAACAAAGTTACATCATGTCAAAGTTGACCATTTTGTATGGAAATCGGCATGCGCTGCTACTATATTGAACACAACTGTAGATAGGGTTTTTGATCTAATTTCCGTCTTACTAAGGACAACCCGTGCTTTGCCTCTCTTTTCTGAACGAATTTAAACCAAAAATGGAATATTTCTGTCAAAGCTGACTTCTAAATTTATCCACCTTTCCATACGTACCGTTGGATTTGATAAAGAGTCACACATTGTTGAGATATTGTTCAAAATCAAATACTGCTTCTTGATTCTAAATTCGTTCTACGAGTTTCAATTCCGTCCTAACGCATTGAAACGCCATTAGATTTTCTTCGTCCTACGGATAAACGTAGAAAAAGGGGATTCGCTAGAAACGCTTCTTTTGTTTTGAGAACAATGAGTGTAAATATTCATACAATGCGCTCTAACAGGATTTATGTTGAAGCTAATGAACTAACGCATCGGAACAAACCTATTATTGATTTGTGCACGGTGAAATCATTGATATTATTGATCTTTTCTGATCGATAGAACGGAAATGGGTGATTACGACGAAGTATAGCGCTCTACCCTATTGAACATTTTTCAAGATTTCTAAAAATCTGTGATTCTTGGTAGGAAAGGTGAAAAATCAGTAGTTTTCAACCTTTCGTCTGTGAATCGGTAGGCATCCTGAAAATCGGTAGGACTACCGATAAATCGGTAGGTCTGGCCACCCTGGCTCAACCTCCGTTTTACCCGCCACTGAAAGAAATGTACATAAAAACAGAAGCGAGGCATAGCGATCTTGTTTTCACGTACGGGCACGCTGGGATTTTACCACGTGCAGACAACACTCTTTTTGGGCTTCTATGGCGAATGAGCGACACAAAACAAGCAAGGAAAATATGCCTTCGTTCTACCAAAACCACCGCATGCTTAGTTCTCGCAGTCTGAGAACTTTTGCTTGTGCACCAGAAACGCTCGTATTTACAACCAGATCAGTTGTATATGTATTGAAGTCCCGTAAGCTTAATTGCCGCTGTATTAGTGTTTATTTTGTGCACTTCTATCTTTGCACAGTTTAAAGAGGGGGAGAGGTAGCTCATCGATTCTTCCGGTTCGCCTCCTAGCATCGTGCTATAAGGTACCAGGCGATAACCAGGGTAGTTGATCGATAGCTCGATGACATCATTTCGTTGGCGTCTGAAATGGGAAATTCTCATAGCAGGCGTTGACGATGGGACGTTGTCGAGTTGTTGAATAGCAACTATCGTGGTAACTCACTGATTACCTGTCGATCTGCCAAATTTGGAAAGACGTCTGCATTGAATTGTCTCATATAATAATATTCCGCCCACTATATCACAAGAAATTGCGAGTAGCTGAGTGGAATGGAGATAAGTTAAGCATTGGGTACAGGACCAAGTCTCCCCTGGGTGGTGCCAAAAGATGAGCGCAATAGAATCATCAAGATGCCATAAGGCACGGAATGAGACTATTGCATGGCTGGGTAGTCAAAGTCTTCCATTCGTTAGTCATTTCAGGTGGATTAGAACAGGTTTAGGTGGGCGTTGGCCAGATTTGGATTTTTCAGATGTAATCCTGGATAGGACCCTGTCATTAAACGTCGCGTGAAAGTGGAACTTAATGAAGGCCTAAGTACTCTTTCGTAGTTTTTAGTTTTCGGATTTGAAAGATCGTCGGTTACAGTGGCCTGCTTACTGAGCAGAAAAACGCGGTCCCAGGCCCTTACATATCAAAGAGATTTATGGTAAAATCGCTTGTGTATCGTGTATTTTGCGAAACTCGTTGTTGTCGTTGGTTTTGGGTTTGAATGGATACATAAATTTGAGCAACGGTATTATGTGATATGAGGGGCTCGGTGGCCTTAGAGCAACCGTTTTTGCTTACTGAGCAGAACATCATGAGTCTAATCTCAGGCCCATCCACATTCAAGATTCGTCAATCGTTTTATTTGTTAATATGACTACATGGTAATAACAGCAACTCGGTGATTAAAAAGGTGCTCGTCTGCCTAGTGGCAAACGCTTTTGCTTACTGAGCAGAAGACCGTGGGTTTAATCCCAAGCTCCTTCGCGTTATATGATCGTTAGGACATCAATTCAGCTTATCGTTTACCAAAACGAACTCTGCTGCAAACCCAACCCTCTTATCCAACATCCCAGTGATTCCTCGTGGAAGTGCAGAGGTGTTCTCGGCTTCCATCAAAGCGAGTGTCATGTCAACACAATCCTTCCCATTCCTTTCTTGACCTGTGTTCGGGCGCGGCCGGCGCTGGTACTGCCTAATTTAAGATCACCAGTTTTTACACATTGAGGATGATTGCTAGTCCCAATCTTATTCAAATGTCGTAATAATACCTCTGACCAAGGAAAAATGATTTATGTAGTTTTCATAAAAGTTGACGATACAAATACTAATGAGGAAAGGAATTCCGCATTTCCTTTTCCCAAGTCCTTTTCCTCTCCTTCCCTTCCCTTCTTCTCTTTTCAGAAAGCGAGTAATGGCGCTATAACCATATGCCATATAGGGCTAGGACAAGAGTTAGTGCTCAAACCCAACCGCTAGAAGAAAATGGTAGCGAGCAAGGGCGCTATAACCTAGGCGAATACAGCATTCCCTCCGTATAGGTTACGTCCGCACACCGCTCTCTGTTATCCTTCGACTGAGGTCGGCTGGATCGATTGAGGGATGGCAGTGGGTTGGCGGTGCCGTCCACGCTTGTACGGAGGGAGGACTGTACGCTCGAACACAAGGGGTAAATACCTGTGTTCCATCCCAGGAGATCGGACAACCAAGGAGTGTACATTAACTTTCTTAGCTCTGTCACTCCCAACGATTTATATAGCCTATTTTCAAATCCTGCATACGGAGCGGTTGGTACGGTATGTCCCCGCTCTTTGATTACCTGTGGATTAAATGTTAACCACTGTCTATACTTATTAAGTAGACATGGTAAACATTCACTTCCACAAAAATTAACTAAACGCTACACAGTAGGCCTGGCCGCTTTATTGTTTGTTTCACATCCTTGATGTGCAGCAGGCATTAATAATGACAAGAAAAATGATAGATGTATCATTTTCCAGGATTCTTTCAAGTACTGGCTGTGTATGTGTAGACTAGACTAGACTAGACTATTCTATCTTTGCACAGTTTAAAGAAAAGAGAATAAATTGGCACGTATCGCACGTATAGACGAGTGCACGGGTGAACTTTTGTTCATCTACTGAACAAAAATTGACACAATAGCGGGGCCCTGTTTACTAAAAATGAACACACGAATAATGCTCGCGTAACTTTTGAAAAGGGCCTATCATCTTTTGAAAACAACTTCCTAGGTCCTTTTCACGAGAACCGAAGTACGCCTACGCAAACCTTGAGCACTATTGGGAAAGGGAGAATTTCCCCTACCCGATGGTATTGTTAGTTTGCGTGGGCGTATTCGGTTTGCACGAAGAGGACTTAACATGTTAAGTTTACACAAGTTGATAGGCCCGTTTCAAATGTTATGCGAGTATTATTCATGTGTTCATTTTTAGTAAACAGGGCCCCGCTGTTGTGTCGCTTTTTGTCGAGTGAGTGAACTCAAATCCATCGGTGCACTCGTCTATAGGCAACGTCGCATTTGAGTTTCTCTCTGAATTGATTGAATCTTGGAGATCCGTCATTCGTTGTATACCTACCTACACGCACACATCGAATTTTTGATTTTTTTTTAATTTTCTCACTACCATGTCTGCATTTCATTCAGTAGCCTCAGCGCATTGATGGAATATTGTTCATAGCATAGTGCAAAATTAAATAGGAATCATGGAACAGGATATTGTTGATGACCTCCTGAAAAGACCGTTCGCCAGAAGATCCATGGAGGAATAAATGCTTATTGCGAGAATGGACGTCCCACGACCAAAGTTGGACAACTTGAAAACGACATGTAAAAGAAATGGTAAAATCATAACGCGGAACTTTGCTGAAAATGGACAAGTGGAAATTGTTGGTTGTGTCATGCTCGAGGAAATTGCGCGGGAAGTGGAGCATTTCGAGGAAATCGCAATTGGCGTCAACTCTACGCTACTGCTTAGGAAACGGTGAGTAACGATGACACATATCATAAACATGAGACTTAAAAAGAAAATCAATGATTCTATGCAAGAGTAAGCAAAAGTGGTAGCAGAACTGTTTCCCATCATCATTTCGTTTATTTTTTATGCAGGTACCCCCGTCGAAAGATTTGTATCCCATTTTTTTTATTATGCATCAAAATTGGCTTCTACTGTTACAGACAAAATATAAATAAAATAGGTGCACAACTAGTGAATTTTTTCACGTGACGCCACTGGTTACACTGCATTAGAAATTTTCTCGTTTTCAAATCCACCACACGAACGAGCTGTCACTGTTATAGAGATTAGTGACGTTTAACGTACGCACACCCCAAGTAACCATAGGCACGTTATTTCGCCTTTTTGGCTACATACGGGTTTCATCAGAACTTGCAAACACTTGTTTAGCCGTTGTTCAGCTGTATATAGTCAAAAAGGCAAAATAACAGGCCTATGGTTACTTGGGACTAGCGGGTACATCGCCGTGTAAAGTTGTTTGTTATTTTCCTGCAGTTTTAGTGCTGAACGAAGCAGCCATTTTCGCCGTTTTGTACCTGAATAAGAGTCATACAAATGTGGAAAAAATCGTGAAAATTAAAGGAAACCCGAGAAGAAACCCCATAACGAACCTTTTTCAAAGGATCAGGTAAGCTAAAGTCAAGAAACATCAATATAAATACTTGCACTAATCATTATGTTGAGTTCCATGTGATTTGAGGTATCGCACGATGCATTTCGGCGCATGTCAGAATCTGTCCACTACCCGGGGGACCCATCAGAAAGAGGCCATTGTGATCATTGGGTCTGAATATGTCCACCATTGATCTAATTTCTTAATTCTAATCTGATTTAGGTGTCGCATGATGAGTTTTTGATATATCAATCTTTTACGAATTACCCAGTGGAATCTGGAATTTACATTTTTGTTCATATCTTCGGAACCGTACATATCTACACACATACAGAAACATTTTCCGATCCCGTTGAGGTGAGTCCATTGCTATATGCCATTCGTCTCTCCGGGACTTGGAACGAAATTGTGTTTTCCAAGTGATATCAAGCCATTCGGTACAACTTGGCGTGCGAGAAAGTCAAAAAGGTTGATATCAGCAAATTGTGTTAAATTTAGCCAAGTTTTTCTCCCCCAGGTGTGCCAAATGTAATGAATATGTTGCTAGATATATCTTATTTTAAAACTGTATTTATAAAATCTTTACAACAGTGTGAGTGTTTAGCGTCATTCTTTATACTTGGCTTCGTTGTACAGTACTCTCCATTCCTCTATGATCTTTATTTCGATATTCCTTCTTATCTGAATCGTTTCAGCAACCCTGATCAGTGCTGCAAAATCTCGACAATACATGATGATATTGACAATTTTGCCTTGGTCACTCATTTGAGCTAACAGTCACAGTCAAGGCAAACCATGTACATTGTCAATGACAATGCTGTCAATGACGAACATGTGTAGATTTTTTTATTAACTAAATTTGTAAAGAAATTAGATGACTTGAGCAACACAATTACATGGAGCCGTTAAAGTAAACAAGCATCTAAAGGGCGAACACGAAATTATTGCGACACATTCAACAGGGCATAACTTTTTTACCATTGGGTAAAAATCAACCAAATTTTGCACACTTTCTCATTGATGTGTATTGTGTACATGCTGTCAAACTCGAAGTCGTGTTTTTCGATTCAACGAAAATGGAGGTGAAGCAACACGAGTTGAGAGAACAAATTCTTTCCAAACACCTGGAATTTCCTGACCTGTCGCACCGGCAGTTGGGAAAAATGTTGAACATTCACTATTCAACCGTCTCCAGAGTGTTGAAGCGATTCCAGGAGCGGTTGACGTTGGACCACGGCAAAGGAGCTGGAAGAAAACCGGGACCGGAGAACAAAAAGTCGGAGGGAAGGTGAAGCGGATGATTAAAGCAAATCCCAACGTCTCAAGCCATGATTTGGCTAAAAAGATCGGCATGTCGCAGAGCTACGTCCATAATGCAAAGAAGAGAGCTGGACTACATACATACAAGGTACAGAACTTCCCAAACCGCGATGAGCGGCAACAATCGACGGCTAAAACTCGGGCACGGAAGCTCTACGAGAAGATGCTGACAAAATATGGCTGCTGTGTGATGGATGACGAAACGTATATAACAGCCGATTTTAAGCAAATTCCGGGGTTGGAGTTTTTCACCGGCAAGAGCAAGTTCGATTGGACGACAAATTTAAGAAGAAGAAAATGTCGAAGTTCGCCTCCAAATATCTCATTTGGCAGGCCATCTGCTCTTGCGGACTGAGGAGTGAGCCTTTCGTGACAAAGGGCACAGTAAATGGCGAGATCTACAAATCTGAGTGCCTCGAGAAGCGCCTTTTGCCGTTCTTGCAGCAGCACGACGAAGCTCCGCTATTTTGGCCAAATTTGGCATCATGCCACTATTCTAAAAGTGTCCTGGAGTGGTATGAGGCCAATTCTGTCCATTTTGTTCCAAAGGACATAAATCCGCCAAACTGTCCGGAGCTGCGCCCGGTGGAGCAGTACTGGGCAATAATGAAGCGGGAACTTTGGAAGAGCAAGAAGACAGTCAAAGACGAGAAGGACATGTTAAGAAAATGGAAAAAAAAACTGAGAAACTGGTACCGGATGACACTGTAAAGACTTTGATGGAGGGCATCAAGCGAAAATGCGTTCAATTTTACACTCAAGGCTCCATCGATTAACTTTTCTTTTGATTTTGAAGTAAATATATGTATAAAACTACCCTAAAATTTTGGTTTGATTCTAAACATTATAAGAAAATTGGCATGACATATTCGGTGTCGCAATAATTTCGTGTTCGCCCTTTACGTCCTGAACTACTTGGATAACAATAATGTGACACAGAATGCACGAAATTACACTTTTTGTTACCAGGTGAATCTTTGGCATTGACGAAAAATTGAATGATATTATAATATTACTATGAACTAACTACGTTTTCAGAACGAGAAAGAATAGTTTGCTATCTCTTTTTGATCTTCACCGATGGTAGACACGGAGGGACTGCTGCAAGCCGTTATAAAAGTTTCGGTTGCATTCGGGTGTATAGCAAAATTCATTAAACTCAATCTCACCACAGTTTGGTGAGATTTTCAGTTGGTGAGTTTAGTTAGCTTGATATTCCGAGCTGCGAAATCACAGCTTGCAAATCAACCGTAGATGTTTGTTTGTTGAATTTTGTCTACGAAAATCAAGCGTGATCTCAGCATCTCCAACACTGAATATGAGTGAACTAATCTAAAATGGTAGTCGACCTCATTTGTCGTGTAATCGTTATTTATCTTTTTTTATTAATTGCCTTTAACGTATACGGCGTAAATGGATGCATTCTCAACTCCAATTAGGTTCAATTCGTTAATAGAAGGACTTTTGCGCTCAAACATGACTTTTACTAACATTTAAAATTTCGCATCAATTTCATGACCCCTATACCCCCCCTTCCCCATCATACGCAAAACTTCTGCTAATTTTATGCAGCCCAATTACACATTCACAGACATTTCTGAAATTCACAGACATTTTTCGCAGACTTCTGAAAAAAATCTGGCATCTCTGATCTGAATTGATGCGTCGAAAAAAAAAAAACTGGGCTTAAATTTTTGGACATCACACCAAAGTAAATTGAACCTTAACCATTCAGATTATGGTGCTACCTACCCTGGGGTGGATGTATTGTCGGCCTAAATGCCCCTAATTTGGGTCCATACATAAATTCAGCAATCGACTGAATTTTCAATAGCGACCAAAAATATCCATTAGTACCGTCCCAATGACGCGTTCATCTAGATAAAATTGATAAATAGCAGATTTTTAGCGATATAGCCATATCAACTTACGTTATGATTCCGTTTTCTATCAGCTTCAAGTTCATCATCAGCGTGTAGGCAAAGTGAGCAACCGAGAAGGCGTGCCACCAGTTGTGATACGGCGTATCCCGATAGCCTTTCTGTACCAGCAGAATGAATCTTGCCAATTTGTCTTCGGGTATTTGGAACGTCGTAACAAAGTTGAGATCGTAGAACATTTTTATCGACAGTTGCACCGAGAGGGCATAGTTATTCACATCACGAGGACAAAAGTCAAACCGAGGTAAGTCCATTGCAAACTGATCGGCTTCGTGTGCATTGACGGCTTCTAGCACATGCTGGATCTCCGTATCCGGTACCTGCGATGAGATCAAAACAGAAAAAAAAACCAAAGTGGTATTGTATTTGAGTGATGATTGCTCCGTGATACAAAAGAAGATGATAACAACTTCCTGAAATGTCATTACCTTCATGTGATATAGCAGCAGCTCCTGGGAGAGCTTATATCGAGCTTCCGCCTTTTGTACCTGTTTGTGAACGAGCGCATGCATAATACTGATACCGCAGTACACGGAGAAAGCGGTGGCCACTTCTTCGTCACATTTATCAAAGTGGAAGCCGTTTAGCTGAAACGAAAGAAATATTTCATGAAAGACGTTCAAACTTCTTTAGCAAGAATGGCTATGCCCGACCATGACTCTATCAATAGAGACTAATAAGCTGAGATGCGTCAATGACACTTGAATTCAACGATCAACAAGCCAATCACAATAATCCCACATCATCGTGACTATTCACAAACTCAGTTTTTCTACATCACGTGTCGTCAAACATGTTCTCTTAGTCCACAAAATTGCATCACAAGAAACTCCAATCTTACAAACTAAAGAAAAAAGTATCCTCGACTACCACATCTCACAACGTGCCTTGGGGGAGAATGTAACCGTATTCGCTTCGAAACCGCAAAAATATGTGAAACATAAAATCGCTTGTTTGTTCTTGCCCTCGAGCCCTTAGCTGATGGTCCTTTTTGAAGTAGCAAATATTCATTTCCCACACTTGACATCAACAAGAAGCTAAGAGGAAAAACGCAAAACGATTCAGTGTTAGATGGCGTAGGTAAAGTTTCGTATAAGTTAGACATAATCGAAACTAAACAACTCTTTCATGCGAATTTCGTTCGACTGTCGATTGTCACGGTAAAACTTTGGCAACTGAACAAGTTTCTATATTGACTTGTTATCGGATCCCTTGAAGGAAATTTATTCGCCTTTCAGCTAGATGCAAACTTTCAGACAAACTTTCAAGTGCCAACATCTTCTCTAGCGAGCCATTGAAAGTTCGTTTAAGATCTGTGCAAACCATCAACAGCACTGCAGCAGTTTTGATGAACTCGAAATAAATTGCTTCACCCCGTGCTGCGAAGAGACCGACTCTAAAAACTCTTCAACGGATAATTTGCCATATGATTCAATATTCCGTCTCCGCGGAAAGAGCAGCTGACTGCTAATAAATTTTACTCAGTTTATTTTAATAAGCAGTTAACAATGCAAGAGCGATTCAACATTTTAGCTTTTGTGCTATTTCCCTTCTGTTTGTACCGTACCATATTACATTGCATTATTATAGATACCTATACCAGTCCGCATCGTGCTCTCTTGCCGTGCGGATCTTTTTACTGAATGAAGTGTTACAAATTTAAACAGCACTTCTTAGTGCTAAATATTACCACAAATTTTCTACCTTGCTCAACTCTTATTCCTCTTCGATCCTCGTTTGGACCCTACCCAAGGTAATCCTGCTTGGGCATCCGGAAAATTCCTCTTCGATCCATTGGATTCTTATAGTAATCTGCTTGGAAGTCGATTTTGACAAACGTTTTGCTGCCGCCATGGCGCCTAAGCGCAAAAGAGAAGGGCAATCTCTTGATCCCCCTATTCTTTTTTTTTCTTTTATTTGGTTTCCGTCGATCTTGTTTTCCGCACTGAGTACCAATGCTACCGACACCAGGGAGGCAGCTCCCACACCTGGACCCTACTTACCGAGTCGGGGACCAACGGCTTTACTTCCCTTCCGAAGGAAGGCGTGATCAGAGATGTTATGCCTCAGACAATCCCGGTGGCACCGACTGGGATTGAACCCAGGCCTTTTGAGGGGAGAGGCAATCACGCTTACCACTACACCGGCGCCGCTAGATCCCCCTATTCTGATGAAATTTATTTGAGCAATCAAATTGATATGCTCACGGATGATAAGAATGATCCATCACCCAAGCAAAATTCCAGTAAACTTTCCCGGCTTAATGCCAAAAAGGAAAAGGTCCCCCCTATAGTGATAACCACTTCCGATTTTCATGCTCTTCGCACGGAACTTTTGAATTTTGTTAAATTCAAGAATTCATTTCAATTTGGCCATCGGGGTGAATGCCGTGTATTGGCTGAAACCTTGGACGGATTCAATCGTCTCGTCTTACTGAGAAGCAGCACAAATTATTCACTTACGACACCAAAACTGAACGTGTGTTCAAGGTTGTCATGAAAGGACTGCCCAGTGGTGAATCCCTGGATCAGATCGAAGATGAACTGGCAAAATTACTTGGAGTTGTGCCACTCCAAGTAATCAAAATGAAAATGAAATATCGTCCTGGCGATTCGCGCAACGGGATTTCTAATGATTTTTATTTAGTTCACTTCAAGTGTAGTGAACTAAACAACCTTAAGGCCTTAGAAAAAGCTAGCCTCATGCTCCATGTCCGAGTGAAGTGGGAACACTTCAGGAAGTCTGGAGGAAATTTGCAAAACCTCACCCAGTGCCGTAAGTGCCAGGGATGGGGTCACGGAACTAAAAATTGCTACATGCCAGCTAAATGCATGAATTGTGGTGATTCCTCTCACGCAAAGGACCACTGTCCTGTGAAGGAAGATCCTAAGAAATTTAAATGTTCAAATTGTGGTGAAAACCACAGGTCCAATTTTGAAGTTTTTGAAACGTTGAGAGTTTCTGTAGAAACAAAATTTGGACAACTTACGTTTATAGCTGCCTATTTGCCATTCCAATGCGTAGGCCAGTAAAAGAATTTTCTTAGGGGTGACCTACAGATACTTATCCGTCATAGGTCTAAATTCTTCATTATTGGTGATTTTAATGCAAAACACCGCTCATGGAATTATGCTCAAAGCAATTCCAATGGTAATATTCTGTTTGATGATTGTTCTGCAGGTTATTACACTATTCGATATCCAAACAGCCCGACATGCTTTTCTTCAGCAAGAAATCCCTCAACTATTGATTTGGTCTTAACTGATTCAAGTCAACTTTTTAGCCAATTGGTTACCCATGCTGACTTCGGTTCTGATCACCTTCCAGTAACTTATGAAATATCCCAATAAATAATTTATAATCCCAACAGCTCAAGTTTCAATTACCATAGAGCTGATTGGGAGCAATATCGAACATTTATGGAAACCAAAGATGATGTTAATTAGGCTTTTGAATCTCTGACCACTCCTATAGTTGAAGCAAGAGCTGCCTCAGTACCAAAATGCGAGGTTAAATTCGATTCAATTATAATAGACGACGATTTTCAGCTCTTGATCCTTCTGAAAAATGTCCATAGGAGGCAATATCAAAAACAAATTAAAAAGCGATTATCTGCCCTGAGGAACAAAACTTTTGAAAATAATGTTTCTATTATGATGTATATAATGTGTTTTGTGAGTTTGAACTTCATAAAATTTTTGAATAAACCTCAAAAATCTATTCCAGCGCTTAAAGAAGGTGGTAAAATTTTGATCACAAATTCGGAAAATTCTCAGAAACTTGCTAAGCGATTTGAGAGTTCCCATAATTTCAGTTTGGGTCTTACTAGTCCTATTGAGAATTAGGTTGCTCGGGATTATCTGAATATTTTCGCACGGGAAAATATTTTTGATGATTCCTGGACGAGGTGAGATCTATAACAAAAAAGTTTCATAATATGAAAGCTCCTAGTGATGATGGAATTTTCTATATCCTCATCAAAACCCCCAGAGAGTAACTTGTCTTTCTTGGTAAAATTATTTAACAGATGTTTACATTTGGCATACTTTTCGGATAAATGGAAAAATGTAAAAGTTGTTCCAATTTTGAAGCCGGATAAAAATCCAGCTACCGTCCAATAAGTTTGCTTTCTTCAATAAGTAAACTTTTTGAAAAGATAATTTTAAATAGAATGAGGCTTCACATCAAAACGAACTCAATTTTTGCAGATGAGCAGTTTGGATTTCACCATGGGTATTCAACTACGGAGCAACTCTTAAGAATTACCACTTTAATTCGTTCAAACAAATCTGAAGGCTGCTCAACTGGAGAAAAAGCATTCGACATGAAGGTAAATTTTCCATTCAATTGTAGGAAATCAGTTCAAAATTATTTAACTGACAAAACTCTGCAGGTAAATTATCAAAATTCCAAATCTGAACGACTACCTGCTAGAGCAGGAGTTGCTCAGGGTAGCATTATTGGGCCTATATTGTATAACATTTTCACTTCGGACCTCCCTGATTTGCCTCAGGGTTGCCACAAATCTTTGTTCGCTGATGACACAGGCATTTCCGCTAAAGGAAGAAGTCTTCGTGTTATTTGCAGCAGACTGCAGAAAAGTTTAGATATTTTCTCTTCTTATTCCCAAAAATGGAAGATTTCTCCCAACGCTTCCAAAACTCAAATATTTCCACATAAGCCTAGAGCTTGCTTTTTGAAACCTAGTAGTAATCACATAGGCACTTTGAACGGAGTTCCAATTTCCTGGTCAAACCAAGTGAAATATCTTAGATTAGTACTTGACCAAAAATTAACTTTTAAAGATCACATTGAGGGCATTCAAGCCAAATGTATCAAATATATAAAATGTTTGTATTCTCTTATAAACAGAAAATCCAAACTTTGCCTGAAGAATAAACTTCTAATATTTTAACAAGTTTTTAGACTGGGCATGCTTTATGCTGTGCCAATTTGATCTAGTTGTTGCACTACCAGGAAAAAAGCACTTCAAAGGATTCAGAACAAAATTCAGATTTTGAAGTTGCCTTCCTGGTATAGTACTACCGAGGTACATAGAGTTTCGAGTGTTGAGACTTTAGAACAAATGTCAAACAAAATAATTAATAATTTCAGGCAATCCTCAATTGCAACGAATAAGTCCCTTTATACTTAGATAAGATTTAGTTTTAGTTCTTAGTTTTAAGATGTCAATTGTTATACTGACATGCATGTTTAGAAAACCTGTTTAAAATAATTGAATGATTTATCTTTATTAGGGAGGCTTTCAGCCTGGGGCTGGTTCGCCTCCAAAACTGTTTAAAATACTGAATTGCCAAGGCAGGAACAATGTAAAAACACATAACAGATATATATCATAACAATTAAGGCTGGTAAGTTACTGTAGTAACTGGGACACCGAGGATAAAATGAAATGTAATTTATTTTGAATTTGGAACAAATAGAGTTAAAAAACCAGCATAAAGCGTAAACAGTTAGCGATAAGAAAGTTAGGTTTTTTCTAATAAATTTCTCTTAAACTTTGTCGAACAATTTTTCTTTTATTGAAGCTTTAAATCAGTTGATATAACCAAATTATAAAACCTTC